TCAGGGGCCCGTTGATTCTTCTCCGATTTGCGAGGCTTGGATCCTTTTTCCCCCCCCATAGGAGACGGTAAGGGGTCCAGGGAGAGGCAGGGTAAAAGGTGGAAGGGCAGTTATGCCAAAATATGCAATAAATAGAGCTCAAGTGTCCGGGTGATGAGGAGCCGAGCTAACACACGTCCTCCATGCTCAACAGCTCAGGCCACGCCCCCCAATTTAGTATATTCTTAAAGAAAACAAAAATGGTGTTCTTGCAACCATGGCAATAGAATGTCCTATAAATCCAAGTTTCTGCTCTTGTGATATACTTACTCTTTCACAGGAGTCTGCACAGTCTGCTTTCCCAACACTGTCCTTAGATGACACTCGTCTTTGTAGCGAGACATTTATATTCAGTAATACACAGGGAAGAAATTTACAAACACTTGCAGTGTATCTTTTATTACCACACTGGCACTGTTCATGTGATTAAATCAGGTAGTTGCTTCCACATAGTTTTCAGTGTGAGGAAGTTACTGCATTGGTATATCCAGATTTGTAGAACAAAAGCGGGGAAGAATGTGCAATGAAGTTTGCTTAAATGTTTGGAATGTACTTAAAGCCAGCACAGGGTCACATGTAAAGAATTACATTCCTGTATTAAGAGGCCCTATATCTTCTTTTCCAAGGGTACATTTATTGAAATGCCTCCAGTTTGTTGCCTGCATGCCGCCGCAGGTATACAACTGGCCAGATGGGGTCTAATACTGGTTTCTTGGATTGCACATATGGTTCCTCCCACTGGCTACATCCTGTAGTGATGTAGGAGCCCCCCTAGGAATGTTAGCTTGAAAATCTACTTTGACTCCAATGTAGAAGAATGAACTTATTTTCACCTTATAGCACATAGACAAAATGGCTACTAGTACGCCCAAGACACATCTATAGAATTACATGTTTAGGCCTATGAAATCGATTCCTTTTGGCCCAATAGTTCTGACATGTCCAATATATAGTGTAAGTAAATGACAAGTACATACTGTCTACTTCTAGTTTAACTTCACTCAGAATAATAGAGCATCCCCATGTCTGGTTCCCTTATTCATGATGATTTACAGTGATGATTCATGATTTGTCTAATGGAGGCAGAAGTCATTGATATCTACAATGAGTTCTGTTGTTTTGGACCCCTGTTAGAACAATTTTTAATGTGTGTTCTTATAACAAGAGAACATCTAGCCCACAACACTCAAGATTATGTTTACGTCCTTTGTCAATGGGCTTTTTGTTGGTTTGAGATGGGTTTTGCATTCCTCTACAACTATGGGAATGCAACACCCCTCACTAGAAGCAGGTCAGAAGGACATTAGCTGCAGGGCACATGCCCATGTTCATGTCAATGAATTCTGAATGATCTCAAAAGCATCTCAAACTGATGTCAAACCAGTACCAATGACACAAGCCTAAAGCCCATCCCCTCAGGCACTCAGTAACCCTGCAGTGCCTGCATGTGTGCTTGCATGTTTTGTATGGATTGCTGGATAGCCTACCTACCCTCCAATGGGACAGTAGGGAAGATATTGTTGTAAGCTTTATCATGTCCTCACTCCGATTGCCAAGTAGAAGTCTCTTTCTTACCACCAAGTGATCATTGTCAGCTTTGTCATTAAAGTAGACCTTTACCCATATCTTTACAATAACAACAAACACACCTTTAGAAATGTTTAGTAATGACAATCTACAAACACATACTTCTAGATAATTGCCGGCTTTGTATTCTTTGCATACCTTATTTCTCTTTTCTTTCCCAGTCTTCTCACAGTGGCCACTTTTGCTAAGGGCAGATTGCTAGATAAATTTTACTTAATGGAACTCCAGCACATGTGACTAGGACATGTGACCATGCACATCATCTCAGGGGAGGAAAATGCCTTTCCCTGAGATCTCATGAGAATACAGATGATTGGATTGGACAGACTGGCTCCTGAATTCCATATTACTTTGTCCACCGCTTGGATAGAGTAAGAAAGGCTTAGAACCTCTGTTAATTGTTGTCTTTGCCTACGCTGGCTAGATTAACTTCTATCTTTGTGGCTATGGTCACTGGAACTGAAAGTTTTTTTGGAGTTGTCACTTGTTTTGGGTTACAGCTGTCTGAGGGGATTGAATAATTGTAAAATCGGTTGACCTCCACCAATTGCCCTAATGCAGTATTCATTAAGCCAAGAAACCAGTGAGGATTGGTCATATTCTCATGATTGGTGGACACAGGGTTTAAAACGGGATGGTTTAATGAGTTGGCCTATTTTCCAACAGATTAAATTCTACAACTGACTTTTATATTAGAAACAAAGCGGATGAGCTTATACAGCTTTATCCATGAACTACATTGCTTATCAACACTGGTTGTCTTGGTGATGAAGTTTAGACACATTTTAAGTTTGCAAATTGTATGTGACCATTTAATCTCTGTACTGGAATGTACTCTGTACTGGAATCTCTGGTACTGCAATGAGCAAATGAACTAAATTTAAATCTGTGCTTTTTCTAGTACGAGAAAACTGGAGTTCACTGATGCAGTTTGCGTTATACGACTACTTCTTGTCGTATAAATTACCCATACGCTGGTGAACAACGGCAATGATCTATAGTGTAAGAGTTAAGAAATGAGTGATAATGCATTCGGGAGATGGAAATCTGCTGCACCAGTTGCAGATTTATAGAAAATATCAACAACCAATTACATGTTGTTCGTTATCCCTTTTGGATGAGGGGATTATCCTTTGCATATGCTGACAATAAAATAATTGCAATAGAAATGTTGCAATAAGATTGGGCTGAGCAGAAAAATCTTACAATGTGTAGATAAATATAAAAAAATCAGCACGTCCTGGTTTCAAGCAACATTCTAGATGCATCTTGGGAGATTGCCCTGCAGCTCCTTGCCCCTATTCTGTCTACCCTTCATCCTTAACTCCGCAGGGAACCTTCTTTGTTAAAACTCTGCATACCCTGGTTCCTTCCAGTACATTTTTTCCTGTTTTATCGTACTGAACGTATTACCTGCCAGAAATCTCAGAAACTCTTACTCGGCACGAGATGCACATAGGTATATTTGCAATGGTTACTTTTAGTGACTGCATATCCAAATGATCACTAGATCCAAAGGTATAGAGAAATGAAATCATGCTAAGACTCCCCCTCCCCACCTGGCTTATATATCTGTTGTTCCCTTCTTCTGATGCACCGCTATATCGGCAGAAAAATTGCACTTTCGGCATTTAGCGTAAAGTACCATTTTCGGGCGATATGTTTCCGCGGCCGATATATCGGTGCATCCCTAGTCATAATTTTTTTGCATTGCAGCCAGTAAAGCATTCCTCAGTAGATCAAAGGTACAATGCTCTGGCTCCTGCAGATTGTCTTCCTCCCATCCATGTTACTGAATGTCCCTACCAACAGTATGTAAGGGGATATGGAAAAGTACATCTGCGTTTTATGAATTATCCACTGGGACAAATTAAGTTTACAAAATATAGTAGATCTAGAATATAGTTTAGTAGGATACACATAAATGTATGTAATGCTGCTTCCACACTATTGTTGTTGCTTGTAGAGTTCAAATAATAGGAAAACAGTTTAAATCATTCAGATCAGGCCATGCTACCATGGAACTTACCGTCTAAAGAGTGGTAGAGACATGCTAGATTCATGTGATTTAGAACTATGGTGGCATTTCTGTCCAGGCTGATTTTCTTTGCTTGTGTCATGTGGTTGGTCTGTCCTACTTCTGAGGTGACAAGTGATATCACACGATCATGTATTTGTAATAAGCATTGTCACATCCACAGTCATTCTGGAATCTTAGGTGGAGTAGTATGAGCATGTTGTCTTATATCCACACATTGGGTAAGAATTTATAGACTAAATGCTTAAAAAAAAAAAAGTCCATAATACATAAAATCAATCCATAAAATCAGTGCATCCTTTTTATGGCACAAGGAAGCATGGATACAGTCTGACTTAGCTCTATAAATAAATAACAGGTTTGTATGAATTTATGGGTTTATTTATAAAAGATTCAGACATTTATTATCAATAGAAATACTTGAGCTTCTGAAAGTCCACTAAATCACTGGAGGGCATGGCAGCTGAAGAGGAAGGTTCAGATATTCTGGAACATAATTGGGGCACTTGCCCACAGCATCAAGTCAGGTTTAAAATTTTAAATAAAGCCGGTTGCTTTGGGCTACAGCTCCATGTTGGCACTTTGCTCCTATACAGTAGGATGTAATTAGCTACACAGGAATTGTTTTAGAAATAATTTAACTTGATTCTGATAAAGTATGGAAAATATGTCCAGTAGGAAGATCCATTTCGACTCATTTTGGGAAATCTCCCTAATGAGATTGGACCCTCTCCAATGGCTTTCGACCTTGTCTATCCCTATTACTTTTAGTCCACTGGGATGGAAAATAAATTGTTGGTTAGTAGTATTTGTGAAATGACTCATGTTTTCTCTCAGTAGTCCATTTTGCACTGATAGTGGTTTTTCAGCATCGAGTATGGGTGCCGATGATTTTTTTTTTTTTCCGGTACTCACCGATACTGGCATCCGAGGGTACAATTGGCCTGGCTTATCAGGAAGCCGGGTGGCGGGTCTTAACTCTCCATCCGACTTCCTGATTGCCTGGCAAGCTGGCATTCTGTCGCAAGAACACTAGCTTCATGTTCTGAGGCATCCGTTTCACGTTCACTTGTTGCTAGGCAGCTTGGCTTCATGACCAATCACGTACCACCGGGCGGTGGATCGTGACTTGCCAACCAGCTTCCTGATTGGTCAGAGTCAGCATGCTAGCTAAATAACTCCTGTGAAATGGGATATGTTCCATAGTATTACATGTAATTCTGACCTGGAAAAGTAAAAAAGTGGGGGAATAAAAAATAAAATAAAATGCATCTGCTTGTGAACAATCATTATTTCATCTTAATCACACTTTTCCCCCCTTTTTCTTTCTTTTAAGGCGCTATGGCTTGTGGTCCCGGTTACGAATGTTCCTTATTACACTAGTTGGCATCTATATAGCCATTCCATTCCTTGTAAAGATATGTCCTGCAATACAAGCTCAGCTGGTCTTTTTAAATTTAGGTAAGTTCTATTTTGTGATTAATTGCTGGGATTAGTTATTACGGCAGATTAGTTATACTATAATGTGCACTTTGAAGTCCAACTGAAGCCAAAATCAAAACTGCAAGATTGGTAAAGTGTAAGCTCCACACTGTTATTAGTAGTGTAATAGTGAAATTGTTCCCCAACAGCCGCCCAAAATCTAATGCAGCAGAGAAGGATTGTGGCACTCTGTGTAAAAGCAGCAACCCGCAATGCAGGGAGCCCGCCGCTGAGTCACAGCTAGAACTCTCCAACTAGCAAGGAGCATGAGCTTTGATGATTGCAGAGCTATACTTTTGACTTGGAAAGGTGATGTTGGAATGCTGCTTGGTCCTCCTTCTCTGCTGCTTGTGCCTTGGATTTTGGGATCCTGCAAGGGAGCTTTTGAAATAGTAATATTGACAATAAGAATTTTACATTTATGATTTTTACAGAGTGAAATGTATCTTGCTGGTTTCCTTCCTAAATGAAAAGTAAAGCCAAACTTTTTATTAATTATTTGGATTTACTTCTCTTTTGGATCACATGAGTACATTTGCTAATGAACTCCTATGAACCAAACTTAGCAGATAGCAGGCTAATGCCTGCTTTCTGCTCACAGCACAGAGCCATTCAGCAGCCAGGAAGGGTCTTGACAATGTTGCCCGGATCCACCCAGGCTGCCCACGTGACGGCTGGCTCTGCCTCTCTAGGGCCAGAGACAGCTGTGCCCCCTCCCCTCCAGTCAGTGGTGGATAAATAGAGAGGGGGGGGGGGGGACCGGTGGGG